TTTATTCAAGGATTTATTTGTAAATGTTTAAAATAATTTAAGACTAAACTGTTAAATCTTTGAAAATTTGAGGCGAAACTGTCCAAAAAGAATTCAACACAAACATCAGATTGCACGGTTTGCATTGCGTGGTGGTGGGAGGTACAATTCAGCCCTTCTACTTACAATATTGTGCATGTCAGCCCCTCTACTTCAAACCAGTGCAAATTGCTCCTTTTACTACAAAAAATCCACAAATCATCCCTTTCAGTAAAGATTACGTCATTTTCTCACTAACTCATATATTGCCCTGTTAAATGGGATGACTAGGTGCTGATTAGGTAATGACTAGGCAATGACTTGGACAAAATGCTTGACTTGGGTTAGCTCACATAGCAAGGGAATACTTTGACCAAAAAGACCTTACAAGAACAAATTAAATTAGGATTTAGGGATTTTGCAAAATAACCCTCGAGTGCAACTCTTCTTCTCGTTCTCAATCCTTTTGGCTTTACATAATTGGAAGAGGGGAGGAACCATATTGCCAATTTTGTTTCTTACTTGGTTTTGTTGCCGATGTAAAGACAAACCAAATGTTGCATGTTGGGAAACCTATTTTGAACCTAGGGTTCAATGGGTTCGCTAATTAGTTGAGGAAGCCATTCAGTTGTGAGGCTAACAAGGTGGATTTTTGGGAACTTGATTTGGGTTAGTCGATTTTGTTACTCAGGTCTCGATCTAGTGTGTTTACCATGACTATGACCACTAAGGTTATTAATGAGTGAAGTAGTTCGTGAGCAACTTATAATCTATTTGAGTTAAGCTTCACCCAAACTTAATTTAGTTGGTAAATGAGTCAAGTTCAAATTCAATTTTGAGCTTGATAAAAAAAAAAAAAAAAAGAGTTTAAGCTCAAGTTTCTATGATTACTCGTGACCTACTCATAAGTTCAAACCCAAATGATTTGGGTTCAGGACAGATCTAAGTTCCTCGCCAACCTAGATCTAACTCTGCGCATGAACCCACTTCACTCAAGAAACTTTGGGTGTTTCTTTACCCACATGAGCAAAAGAACCCGTTGGGTCCTTGATATTGATCCAAACAAACCATCACAACACTAAATTCGCCCACATCCACAACCAGCGTATCTGGTTCTTCATTATTTGGGTCTTCCTGCACTAGTTCCTCCACCAGTGGGTGGAGCCAACATTTTTAATAGTAGATTCCTAGAAAAAAACCCATGAAATTCCAAAAACCATGGCAAGAAAATTATCCTGCAGGCAGAGAATGGGTAAGATTACAAAAAAAAATTGGGTTGTTACCGACATCCCTCTCCTTGTGTGCAACATTTCTGTCATATCCTTAAAAAAAAAAAAAAATTGAAAATCCCATAGCTACCCAGCATTTTGCTTTTAATTCATTGTCCAAAAATGGAGACAAAATAAAAACTTCAGATTAAAGTTTCAGGTGCCAGAAGTTTAGGATAAAAAGCAATTTTAGCCAAAGGAACAAACCTTATTGGAGCAATTCACCACTTTTGAATTGATTATGGAGAGATTTTAGCCAAAGGGTTGCATCAATGGAAGGAGGTTTTGAGTGGAAATAAGTATCAAGACGGAGAAGACAAGGATAAAAGTATTCTAGAACCTCACAATTTTTTATTGTTGAACCGGAAGGGGAGAGGGGCTGTGTGTTGGTTCACGATGTGTATGTATCATTATCCTTAAGTTATAGATGTTAGTGCATATCATTCCTAATTATTAAAAAAAAAAAGAGTCCTAATTTACATTTGAAATCCGAAATCTCAATTTAAAATTTAAAAATTCACCCTATTAAGTATTTATACATAAATTTGGAAATCAATTATATATTTTAGTATAATCAATTTTCAAATCTAAATATCAACGGTTAATGAGATGGATTTTTAAATTTTAAATTTAGTAAAATAATATAATTTAAGGTTGAAACTTTGTTTAAACTTTTGATATAACAACATTTTTTAAAAATGTAAAAAATTTATGGTTAAATAATTAGTTATTAACATATTTAAGAATTATAGGAAAAAAAAACCGTTCGAGTTCAAGATAAAATACTTGTTGGTTCAAACTTGCGAGTAAATTTGAACTTGCTTGACAACTTATGAGTTTGAATGTCATCTCAACTATTTTGAGCTCGACAAATGCTTAAACTTGATTCAAACTCAAATTTTTAAGATAAGTTCTATACGAGTACCTATACACTTGACTTGACTTGTTAATAGCCCTAATGACCACCATGAGTTCTAGTTCTAGCTCATCTAGATCCATTTCAGGTCATCTAGCTAGAAGCGGATGGCAAAGGAATGTTTTACATGGGAATTTACTTTGTATTTTTAGAAAATTTGTGCCTCTTACCTTCTTGTGATGTGAATGATCATGTTCTTGCCACCTCCTTTAATACCCAGGTCCTAGCTGAAGCAATTTCACTAGGTGACTTGATATATCCAAACCTACTTGTAATATCCCAAATTTTCGGGAATATTTAAGTGTAAGTTAAGGACTTAAATTGTGAGAAAATATTGTTTTGGGCCTAATAGCCAACATTCCCAAACTCGAGGGACTTAAAAGAGGAGAATTTGGATAAGGATGGCTTATTTCTTTTCTCCCTTTTCCTCTTTCTTCTCCAGCCCGTTTCTGCTCTTGTCTTC